TGGGAAGCTCATACTCAAAAGTTGGTTGATGAGCATTAGTTCATTAGTTCACCCAACACTTAGAATAGTAATGTGGGGTAGCACTGACAGTCTCCAGAGCCAGCAGTGCTGATGGCAGGCTCTGTTTCTTTGTTTCTGGCCAAGGCTTTGCCTTAGCTCCAGCATTCTGGAAGTGTCAGGTTCCCCTTGGGGCAGCAGGTGCTGTGAAAGTGGTGGGATTTTGCTGGGAGGAGCCAACAGTTCTGCTTCTTTCTTCTGACAATACTGCTGGGTTTGATTCTCTTGGTAAATGACCATGGGAAGGATCAGGTGGAGATAGGATGGAGGTTGTCTACAGGTGGGACTCTGCCTTCTCCTGGAAGGAGTGCTGCACAAGGGACAGTTGAAGTTTCTTCAGGAAAATAGCCAGAAAAGCCCCAGCCAAATGACATCAGTGGAATTCTGTGATTTTGAGAGAGTGAATTTTCTTTTCTTTCTTAGCATGGCTGAGAAGTCTGCCTTTACTGCACTGAAAATGGTTAGAACAACCACAGCATTTGACACTTCATCTTTAATTATAGGTCAGAGAATTTCACCTCAAACATGCATTTAGTAAAAGGAGAACAGGGTAACCAGGGTTCATCCTCTTACCATAAAAAAACAGAGTTAATCTCTGCTTTCTACAGTCTTTTAAAAGAAAGTGACCACAACTGCAATGTAGAAACCTGATTTGATAAGGATGTTTTGGGAGCAGCTACCTTGATCCAGGGCAGGAATGCCAGTGAATCCTGAGTGGACACTGAAGAGACCAAAATGTGCCTGGCAGGTAGAGAGGGCTTTCAAATCTTGGGAAATTTTTAATACTAATAATAAGACTAACAGGTTTTTGAGGCTTTTGAATTTGCATCAAGGCATCTGAATTTGACCAAAATCCAACGTAGGTACTCAAGTGCATTTTGGAATCTGAGACTTGTGTATCCCAAATAAATGAAGTAACTCAGAAAATGACCAACGAATTTAGGAAAAGCACAAGACCAAATGAAGATGTGAATACTTGTAATATAACAGTCTGAATTTTATGTTTCCTCCTTTTCTCCATCTCTTACCTCTTCAGAGGACACAGTCTTTTTAGTCTTCTATTTTTATTTTTTCTTCAATTTTTCCCCTCCTTTGAAGTCTTACACATTAAAAATCCAGAAAAGTGGCTGTTTGCATTCAGAGTCTGGTCCTAATGTGTTGCAACAACAGATCTGATTGTTTATTTGCCAAGGTATATAGCTTAATTTATGTGGAATTCACCAGATTAATGCTGTTTTAATAATATGATTAAAAACGAAGTTTAAATTGACATAATTAATACAATAAAAAGTATAATTCATGCAGTTTTTTAGAAGAACTGAAGTTTTTTTATAATGAATTCTTGTAAGTACTACTAAGACCTTTTTAGTTAGGAAACATTACATTGATTAATGCATAGCTGTTTGCATTTTAATACTTGATTTATATATCAGATCCGTATTTGTGCACACTGTCAAACTTTATTCTGTTCTTGTCAAAATACTTATTGCTTCTGACAGGTGTAACATGCTCACATTAATCCTTAATTCCTTGATTCAATTTTCTAATTGCTTTTTTGGCATGAGTTTGGAGCCATTTAGTCTTACATGAAGTATTTGTCTTATGGTATAATAATGCACTTTTAAAAATTGGATGCACATAGCTTAGAATGTTGAAGAAAATATATAGAGAGGTATTACTTAGTACTGAAAATCGAAAGTTTTATATCACTTCTGAGAGGCAGCACTTCTTGGAATACAAATAGAACCAAAACACTTTATAATTCTCATCTTCCCGTATTCACAGTATTAAATATTTTCATAGATACAAATTGGTGCTGAAGTTTCAGTGAATTTTGCCCAAGGAGATGCTGAACACTTAGAGCAGCTCCATGAACATTCCCCGAGTCTTTGTTCTCCTGCTCTTCTCACCTCTTCAGGCCACTGCTCTCTGCTGCCCATCCCACCCAAGGGGACAGAATCCTCTTCCCAGCTTCTCCTTGGCCTCACTCTCAAAGCTGATCAACCCTTTAATTCCCAAACAGACAAATACAGTAATGCAAGATTTGCAGGGGTTTTTGATACTTAAATAAATATACTCACCTCTTTTACTGCTTTCTTATATAAAGCATGGACATGGCATACACTGCCATGTGTTTTTCTGCCAGCAATTGTAATATTGTCATCTGTCCTGTGAAGGAAAAAGATGAAAGTCAGCCCAAATCTATTTCTTACAGAAACAGATCCAGAAGAGTCTTCCCAAAGCTCATAAACTCACCAGGCAGCTGAACTTTGGCTTTTTAGGACTTTCAGGTTGGGATAATGTAGAGCCTTTTCTCTAATAAAAATCTAGGAACCCATGAAGATAACTCCTGATGCTTATTTTCTGTGAATAAATGCATGAATACACACTTAAATTGTGGATAAAACTTTATATATTTTTTTTAGTGCCTGATTTAATCCCTACCTTCTCCACTTATTTCTTCTTTCTACATCCTCTGAGTTACTCTTCTTTTTTCCCTATCAGTAATAATGTATGTTCTTTGATCCTTTTATTCCTTCATAGTTTTCTACCACTTTCTTTTTCACCTTCCCAGCTGACACACCTCTTTCTGTCATAGTATGTGTAAAAAAGGGAATATAGGAGTAAAAGTTTATCAAAGAAGTGTTTGTTTATTATGTCTTCCACTGATAAAGTTTTATTAATCTGTGACTGTCATTTGAGGTTTTGGCAAAAAATGTAAGTCACTTTCTGTACAAGGGGAAAAGAAAAAAAGATAATTCTAGCAAGTAAATCATGGTAGATTACTGCTTTGGGCAAACAAACTTGTGCCTTATCTCTTCCAAAAAATCCATGGGAAATGCATGATAAATGGCACATTTCAGAGAACATGTTATGTCCCTGTGAAATAACTTTGATTCATGGTTATGTATTTATCTTTAAACAACTGACAAACCTTAGGCTATCTAAATTATTATCATTTGCTCTATGCTACTGTGTTATTTTGCTAGGGAACCTGAATGATGAGAGGTAAGATAAGACACCTTGCTTTTGCAGTCATAATTTTTTTATAAAGATTAAATAAGCACAAAATTCTTACTGTATTTTATTTTTGGATGAAGTCCTTTGAAAGATTATTTATCAGAAATCGTTTCCTGCAATTGTGTTTTGAAGAGCATTAGTATAAACTTCAAACAGAGGAGGATGGGGCCTGTTGATCAAAGGGTTTCTATTACACAGCAAAAGAAAATATCACCATTTGGATTTATAAGAAAGTAATCACCAAATTAAAAGTCATACTGGTAAATTTCTTCCTTTCAGTTGTGTGTCTGCATAAAGTGTTTTGAGTTACATTTTTAAATGAGGATTCCATTTTCTCTGTATTTTCAAATAGTTGTTTGATTTGGTGTTGTGACAAGTCAGGAATATTGTCTTAAATGCTCTCTTGTTTGCATTAGTAACACCAGCTGGAGCTTTTGGGGTTTTAGTTTTCTATTTCATCATTTGGTAAAGGTTTTGGTGAATATAAGTTGTCATTCCCTATGGCATGGCAATTTTAAATTAGTTGTAGTTGTTTACCCAAATTCTTTAATGCTGTCACTTTAAAAGAATCTACAGAAATGCCTTTTAAATATCATCATGAAGGAAAAAAAAATCTATTTTTCACTGAGCAGTAACAAATGCTGGTTACTTGGAGGTAGAAAAATAGAAAATGATTATTGCTTTACATGATGGAAGTGCCTTTATTTTCCTTATATCAAGAACTTTGCAATTTATTTAACTTCACTAAACTATCATTTTTTCATAGAATACTGGAATAAGTTGACATTTATGTATACATTGCATTTTTTATGTAAATAGAACGTTTTCTGGCTTTGAATTTTGAATCAAAATGCTGAACTCATATTTTGCCTTGGAACATGACAGACATTTAGAAAATTTATAGACAGAAAAAGAAGGAAATGCTTATGATGATTCTGACCTAATGCTTTTAGAAATGTCTTTAGTGCTTGACTAAATGTTTAAGCTCTCAAAAGAGAAATCCTATCTCTGAGTGAACACAAAACTTGGAAACATGGAAATGTGGATACACTGTAAATTTTCATCTTAAAAACTTATTATTCTATGCCTTTGTGTACTGCTTTGCTTTTTTTCCCAGCTCCTACTGTCCTTGGTAAATCAAGAACAATATGGTAGCAACCATTTAGTTGAAAGCTAACTGTAAATTAAATTATCAATAGAATTAATGAGAGTTTGGTTGCAGCACAAATCCCCTGCCATCAACACCACTGCCACCATAGCTTTATGTAAGATAAAGCAACACAGGCAACATTTTCAGAGAGTTTCTGAGCATATATAAATAGTAGCATTGCACCTATTTTTTGCATATGCAAAAAGAATCAAAAAGGTCCTGCCTTGAAGAAATCATTTCCTTAGCAGGACAGATAGAGATAAGAAAGAATTCCTGGTCTGGGGATCTCAAGAGGGATTGACTGTCTTTAGCTATTGGTATATGATATAGATTTGCTCTCATTTTATAGTTTTGGCATTAGGCAGGCTAGGTAATGGCTGCTGTTGAAGCAGAATTCTTTCACCTGGATACTTCTTAACAGAGATGAGGAAGTTGGCTACTCTCAGACACCATGTGAAATCAAAAGATTTTGCTGTTTTTTAAGCTTTAACTTGATATTACTACGTTTAGTATAAAAAATACAAGCTATATATATACAAATTCAGTAAAATTTTGTTGTTTTTTTTTTGGTTGGTTGGATCTGCAGCGTGGGCTGTCAGAGCCCATTTTTAAGTCGATTAACATGGTTCAGACAATCTGTTTGAATGCAAATAACTAATTAGGAAAAAATATCTTCCCGCTGTTACACTGTGCCTTAAAAGAAACTTAAAGGTGCACAAGTGAAAATGGGATGGAAATCCCAAAGGTTAACCTGTGTCTCTTCCTTTTGCAGGGTGCTCCTAAGCCGATTGCCATCGAGCCGTGCTCAGGGAACAGAGCCGCCGTGCTGACCGTGTTCTTGTGTCTGCCCAGGGGAGCCTCAGGAGTTCCACCACCTGGGCAGTCAGGTAAGGCTGCTCTGGTGGGCCTGGTGCCTGCCTCCTTCTGCACTCTCTGCCTGGCCAAAATCACCCTCACAGATCCAAAATAACGCCGCAGCAGATGGGTATGAGGAGCTGCTCGGTCAAGCTGATGTTAAGTTTATCCCCAGTGTTTCGTTTTTCTTGGGAATTTGGTGTCGTGTCCAAATAAAAAGCCCAGTGATTAAGCCAGCTGCATTGCACTGGGACTTCCTGAAGAAGTACCTGTGCATGTCAATATGCTCCAACATTGTCTCTCAGGGAAAAAAAAATCATACGCAGCCACTTGCATGGTTTCAGCTCAAGCTGCTGTAAATGAGGCTGTACAGGGAATACCAGTGTGTATTTTCACTCCAGGCTAAAATTTAGTGCAGTCTAGTTTGCACCATAAATCCCAACACTTTGCTGGCTGGGACTCAATTAAAATACTAGCATTTCCCAGAATGCCTGTCAGATAAAGCCTGGAATTGTGTGAGTGAATGCTTCTGCAGGGAGGTGTTCACTTTGGAAGTGATCCCAGCTCATTTTAAAGTAGCACTTGCATTATCTGGAAGCACTTCTGGTGGTGACCTACCTTCTCTGCTAGATCATTGTACAAGTACATTCTCATAAAACACTCCTTGAACAGGAGGTACCTACCTGCACCTTTAAAACCCCTTAAATAGCTGTCTATAATGATGTGATATGAAGGAGCCCTGACAAGAAAGTGTAGACAGTATTGTCACACTGCACATGTGACCAGTGTACTGGAGCTGGAGCCAAAATGAACACCTCTGCAGAAAGAGTAGACTGCATGGTATGTGCCCAAAATGCAGGAATAAACCAGAAAATATGCTTTCAGGCTAACTTTTATCATTAAGAGCCAAAAGAGATATCCTTTTAACCTTCAAAAATCCATTTAAGAGATTAAAAAGTATTGAGTAATGATGAGGGCAAACTCAGTTGACTTATGTTGGAAATAAGCTCAGCTGGGTGTTCTTCTTTTGGCCTGATCACTATCTGTTATTTATTTTGGAGTTTTAGTTCATTTTTTGAGGGAGAGGGGTGTTATATTTTTTTCCCTCTGAGCTCTGAGATGAGGACTTAGTTCTTAAAATGCTGTTTATGGCTTGGAATATCATTTTTGGAAGTGCTATGAAAATAAAAGTGTTACTGATGCTTTGTCAAATACATTTCCTGGAAGAAATATATAAATGTAAGTGCTCTGAAGAGAGAAATGAGAGAGGAAGGATGTTTAGCTTATTCCCTGTTCGTGTTTTAAGTAAATGAAAAAGAAATGAAGGTGATTATAGTCTTGCAACAAGAAAAAACATTATGAAAGGAAATTAAAAGTAATTGTTGAAATTTAAGCTTAAAATGTTTTTTGAGAGAGTTTCTTTGTTGCTTTCAAACTTACCTGTTATGTACATATTGACAGTAAAAATGTATTCATTTAGTTTCTTCATAATCAGCTTCTATTTACCATATAAAGGAGTCTTTGCAAAGTAGTTGTAGATCTTTGCTGTGTGTAAAGCACAGACAGTATACATGTTTTGAAACAGGGCTTGGGTTCAGCAACACATCAGAGGTGTCATTCTGCAGGTTTCTCAACCTGTGAAAGAATACACCTCTTTTTTAAACATGTTTTGTCCTGCTGGTATGTTCTGTCTTCTCATTGCTTTGCAGGCATATATTTGGAATGCTATTCTTCCACTTGTTATTATGGTAGCTGCCAGCCATTTAGTATTTCAAAATATATAAATTATTTAGTCCTACACCTTTCACTTTGTTCAGAGTCAAAAGCAAATGGAAATGCTTGAGGTGTTCAGCCATGCTGCTTCAACCATTAGTGTATTAGATGATGTGGCTATAATAATTTTTTCTTGTGCATGATGAGTTTTGGTTCTCATGGATTGGTCCATGTAACCATGCCTAGGCCAGGCAGGAGCTATTATGCAACTTTGTTGGCATACCTGTAGCTCTGCTAATTCACTCCATTCCTGTCCTGCAGCACCCTGGGCTGCCTGGGAGCAGATGCTGTGAGCACTGCCAAGGTTTTGGAAATGATGTGAAAACTCTGAGCAGCACACACGTTCTCTATGCAGTTGGTCTCCCTACGTTAGACAAAACCAATGATACTGAGGTGGAATCGTGTGTTCAGTAATTATGTCTTGCCAAGTAATATTAGAATCCTCTGTAGAGAATCCTCTATTACTTGCACACAGCCATTTTCCAGCTCGTTGGGATCTCTCAAGGACAGAACTGACAGTGTGTCCAGCATCTTTGTTTAAATGATGCATCAATGATACTCATTTCCAGTTCACACTGGGACAGTGTGGGATTCATTCCTTCAATACACACATCCCAAACATAAGAAGGGAATGAAAGCCTGTATTCTTATTGTCCTGCATTTTCTCCAAAACTGAGGGAGCAAATTCTTTACATAAATAACCTATGCTCCACTGTAGTTCTTAATTGTATACCTAATTTTTTGAGCTCTGAATTCGAGTTTTACTTTTTCGAGTTTTACATTAACAAATATGTTGTTGAAAAATGTCTCTGAATATTTTAAAAAAACCCACAAAACCAAAAAACAACCCAACAAATAAACTAAGCTCTAATGTAAAGGTTACTCTTTATGCAGCATATGTTCTATACTTCACCTTTACCAGCAGCTGGAAGAAAAGTTGAAGCTACAGATGGTGGGCTTTGGCCAAAGGCTATGCACAGCAAAAAACTTCTCTAGGAGAGACCATATGTCCCAGTGCAGATCTGTGTGTTCTCTGCTTCCTGCAGAAAATACTCACAACTTCACAGACTTTCAACAACATTGTTTAGCACTTAGTCCTAATTCTGTAATTTTAACAGCTAAACCACTTAAAATCTGTGATTTAAGATTGATTTTGTGCGGATTGATCATATAGATTTGGTCAAAATATTGATAGAAATGAATTTATTGCAAAAAAGAAGAAACACTAGTCATTGTGATTCGTGTTTTAAAAAGGGATTTTTTGAATGAAGCAGCTATTTATAGAATTAAATATCCTGAAAAGCCAGAAAGGCACAAAATCCATCATGGTAGGTTAGGTGTTTCACAGCAGACTTATATTTTCTTTTGGGTGTAAGCTAACAATTGAATTATACTTCTCTGAAGCAACTGAAGTAACTGTTTTTAAGTGAAAGAAATTAGAGACAAAGTATAAATTAGAATGATCAATGCAAAACATGAAGTTAAATGCCTCAGTTTGGATTGACTGATAGAACATGTGCCATCTTCATTCTAAAATCTTGTTCACTGCATTTGTACCTGTGTAATCAGAACAAAATTAGAGGGTCCAAAAAAAGAGATAATGTCTGTAGGGTTCACATGTCTATCAATACAAATGCATCAGTGTAATGCATATGTGACTTACAAGTTTTATGATGCACTGGAAGCTAGAGATCATATTTTTTTGCTTTAGTCTCATACCCCATGATTTAAATAGCTTAAACTCTTCTAATATCAAAGCAGATCTAATAATGAGAGCAGCTGCAACCAGTTCTCTAGAAAGAACTAAATTATACATTGCAAAGGGAATTGAACAAAACAAGTTAGACCAGAAAAAGGAGGATAATATATAGCCTAATGCAGGAAAAGGTGCCTATGAATTATCACCAGTGGAAGGCCCAAGAATAACTCCTTCAAGGTCTTCATACAGCTCTGGTGATATATTGGGCAATACAGAAAGAATAGCTTGGTAATGTGATAAATTCTGTTAAAAGAACTGTGACCATGTCATCATTACTACTAAAGCCAACTAAATCCCATGCTTTGAGGTATTGAGTTATTGTACAATAAGTTTATAAAACAATGTTTGCATCATTCTGGGATAAGGCCACTTTGTGCTGTAAAGCACAAAGAGAAATGAGAATATTAAACCATTTCAAAATAATTCAGAATCAAAGGGTGTAATTTCTGAATTATTTACAGGTTATTTTACTTTCACACAGCAGCACTTGCCTATCTACCAGGAGGGTAAAAGTGATAGAACAACCAGTAGAGGAAATTCCCTATCGAGGCAGTGAGCTGAATGATCTCTGCATATGTGCACAAATGATTCTCTCTGTTAAACCTTAGTAGATCTTTAACACCTCCATGGCTATGGAATCTAACTTAACCATAAAATAACACTTGGAAATTAAATGGAAGTTGAAATGGAAGACTGTGTGCAATATTCCATTGTTCTAAGTACAAATTAGGATGGCAGGTCTTTGAACAGTGCTATCTGAAAGTTCCTGTCTGATATCCTTGACTCAAAACAGACTTTTGTGTAAATCTGGATGTGGTAACTGTGGTGTTCAATCCTACTTAATCAGCAAGCTACAGCAGGATCACAGAATCAATAAAACTACCATGCCATCTGCCTTCCCTGTCCTCACCATCATAATGAATAATGACTCATTAAGTGTTCTACAAGACAATTAGCTCTGGTTGAAAACAGTAACAAGGCTTTCTTGATTGTATTTATAATTTTCTCTGATTAAAATGCAAAAATCCTAATGCATATCATAAGAGGCACATTAACATAAATATGAATTAACTAATAGTTTTTATAGAGTATTATATTTAATTATATTGCTCAATTTTTCTGACCCTTGGAAACAAAACCACATCTTATGGCTTTTAATTTGTAGATTGGCTTCATATGTGTACCTATCTCAGTATGCAGAACTGGTTGCAGACGTACACTGGGGCATATAAGTCTCATGAATTTCTACCTGCTACAAACACATTCCTTTGCACCGTCCTTTTTTACTTGCAAAATAAAGTCAGTAGTGCTACAAGGATGAGTATAGGTTTTCCTGTGGAAAAATATAAGTAAAAGATGTAGCAGAAAATACATTGTTATTAAGACACACAGAGGAGAATTGAATCTCTGCTTTAGTGAAGAAAAACTGTGAAAACTGAAAGTAGTGAGAAGCAAAGTGAGGGTAGACAGAAATGGGAAGATATTCACAACTGATAATTT